TCATGTCTGTTTTTAAGCTGGTAATACATATTATCAGTTGTTTTATATGATTTCTGATCTTATTCTCTACATAAGAGGTCGAAACTGGTAGCACCTCTGTTGAATTTGGCCTGCAGACATGTTTTGTTTGGTATGTACAGTGCTTTGTAAAAATTGAATATGCCAATTAAGTGGAAGATTTTACACAAAAATTCAGATTTCTGGCTTCTCTTGAAAAACTTAGAAGATCTGGCAACACTGGGTCTAAATTCTCACATGGCAAACAAAACAAAAGAACCACCTTATGAGTGTGCTCTTTTTAACCTGGACCTCTTCTGTCAGTTTGACAATTGTCTTATACCCAGCCTACTTGTCTCGTAGTGCTTGGCCTGGCCCTTTATTCACCATTCCTTCCGTTGGTGAACAAGGGAGATTTGTAGTTCTCTGTGTAACACAAATCCTGTTACAGCTCCTTTTGTTGCAAAGTGGTATTGGGTTCAACGTAAAGCTGCCTTAGACTTATTCCCAAATTTTGTCAGAAAGCTTTTTTTTTTCTCTTAAAACAGCTCTGAGAATAATTTCTAGAGTTGGGTTTGGTGTACTGATCAGAGTCAGTTCATTCAGCAGAGAAGATAACAATGTAAATTTTAACTTAAGGCAGAAGTGTATTTAACAGGTGGTGTACTTCCCTAGTAGGACTTGGGCATGGAGAATAAGCAAACAACTGTAACAGAACTGAAAAACAGGATAACATGTGATTAAGAAGATTGAGCTTATTGAGAGATATATTGTAAGGGAACCTTTCAGATTTATTGATATATAATCTATTATAAGTAAACATATATGTGAGTCCACTTAGAGTATGTGTAAAATGCCAAAATATTGTTATTTCTAGTGAAAATATAGACTTGAAGACAATCAAAGAGGAGGATGACATTGTATTTGAAGGCCTTCAAGATAATGTGAATGAGGAGGGTGAAGGTGAGGTAGAAGATGAGGAGGAGGACTGTGATGATGAAGATTGGGACTGGGATGATAGAGCTGGAAAACTCACCAAGGGTTCTGTCTGGAATGGAGGAAGTAACCCACAGGTATTTTATTAATGATTTTGTGTGTGTTTATTTAGTCTGCTTATGTCTTCTGTTTTTAAGGGATGTTTTGTGGTTCTGGAATTGAATAACAGAGATTTTTTTAAGGTTATATTTTCCTGTAGCCCCCACCTTTATTGACTTCCACTCTTCCTCCTTTCTATATTTATGGTAATTTCCTGGGTTTGAGTTCTTTTCATAGTCAGTAAATTTAAAAAGAATTATTTAAGGTGTTTTAGGATTATGAGCTTAAAAATCTGCACAGGAAAGGACATGAATAGGCAGTTTACTAGAAATTGTTAAGAAACTTGGTGGAAAAGTTCATCCTCATTAGTAATTAAAGAAATACAAATTAAATATGTAGAGATGCCATTTTTTCACCTATGAAACTGACAAAGACACAAAGTATGTTATTTGTGGTCAAGTAAATAGGTCCAATTATTTGGAGGGTAAACTAGTATGTGATAAAAACTTTAGTTACAAGAATAATCCTCCAGGATTGTTTATGGTTGAGGAACACTGGAAACAACTTTGGACCTTGATTAATTTTACTAGGGGACTGATTCACACAATGGGTCATTATGCAGCCATAAAATATGTTGCAATGGAAGACTGCATTAATGATGTGGGAATATGTTCTGGTCTGCCATCATCTACCATGTGTAAAAAACAGTAACCAAACCATGTAGAGCCTACTTGTCAAACTGGAAGTACTAAGTGTGTCAGGAGTTTGCAGTACCATAGGATTAACATGGTGTGTCTTCCTGGAGTATGAAGGTTACAGAGAAAGATGGAGGGGGAAAAAACCAATGATATTCCTTTGAATATTAAAACAGCTATATCATGGACCAGAATGCATGCATTTTTAAAATAATCCAAGAAATTTCACATTTGTGGTCTTTTTATAGTAACTCCTCCATTGATTCATTGGTGAGATTTGAGCAATTTCATCATAGAGTGTAATCCTTTTAAAGAAAACTAGAAAAAAAGACTAGAGGTACTTGTGTATGTGCTTAAATGTAACTTATCTTTGGGTGCTGGGATTATAGGTGATTAAAGTTTTACCTGTGTTTTCTATTGTGAACATGATAAGGTTATTTTAATTTAAAATTATTTTAAAAGTTAAATTTAATAGAAAAAATTTTTAATTAAGTTATATACAAACAAGAAACAGCATCAAAAGTTCCATGCTGAGATAACAACATTGGATCAGTGATTGTTATTGCCCCTTGTTATTCCTACTATATTCTCTTACTTACCGGTTTTGGATTTGTCTCCATTTTCTTCCATCAAAAGTTCCATGCTGAGATAACAACATTGGATCAGTGATTGTTATTGCCCCTTGTTATTCCTACTATATTCTCTTACTTACAGGTTTTGGATTTGTCTCCATTTTCTTCCCTTTTTTTTTTTTTTGCTGGCAGCTGACTGGTACAGGGATTAAACCCTGGACCTCTTTCTTCTCTTTTTGCCATTATTTAAGATAGTACATAGCACCAGTCTAAGTGCTAAGCTTTATAATTAATCTTTTCCTTTCTTGAGATATTGGGCCCAAAATGAAGTTCTGAATTAGTTTAATGTTGGTCTTATCTCTTTATCATTATACACTTTGGTGGTAAATGAAATTTTAAATCTATAAACCTCTCAAATTTTAAATATATAAGCCTGCCAAATTAGAAAAATGCATTTAATTTTGTTATTTATAGTACTAGAAATACATCATTAGAGAAGGAAAAAAAAATAGAATCCAGATTATGCACTCTTTGTTCTAGCCAGTAGCTTTAACCTTCTTCTATTTCAAATGCCTTTTTAAAGAATTTCTTAAGTGAATGTAATTTGACTGATTCTTACCTTTCCTTAGTATACACCTCTAAGTATTGATGCTTTAACAGCTAACTATGAACTAACTATGATGATGAACCTTTAGGTTTGTATTTAAAACTAGTGCCTTAGACTCTGGAACTCATTTCTTTTAGGCAAATCGACAGACTTCCAACTGCAGTTCAGCCAAAATGTCTACACCAGCAGACAAGGTCTTACGGAAATTTGAGAATAAAATTAATCTAGGTGAGTTTATAAAATGTATTACCTCGCTGGGCTATGAGAAAATTCTTCAAAAACCACAAAGTGTTATACAGTTTTATTAGATCAAGAAATTAATATGTTCAAGTGTTATTGACTCAATAATAATATTTAGAGAAAATAAAAACTTTTAGTGATTTAAAAATGTGGCTTCAAGGAAAGACTTTAGCTTATGCTTTTTTAGTTCTGTTTTCTCACCCGTTGTAGGAATATGAAGTTATAGATACCCATGTAAGTTATTGTCTGTTCTGTATTAGATTTTGTGGTAGGATGTTGTAAATACTAGAGTTGCATTTTATTTTACTAGAGACTTTTTATGTAGGTGTTCATCACTTAGTGAGCTTTTGAATGCAAGAAATCAGAATGTTGATTTGAATCACCTCTTAGAAAATGCAAGGTCATCTTTCTATTCTTACAGATCTTAACTCATTGTTATAAACCTAGCACCGTGTTTCCCGTATAAGCTGTCAGTACACGTTCAATTAGCACAAGTATTGTAGGGTCTTCATAGACCTATAACTTGAAATAAAACTGAAGTTTTTAGAATTAAACTTTTAATTCAGGCAATTATATTATCTATATTAGTCATACAAACTATTAACAAGTGTCTGAAATTTAACTTATGCAAACATGGTATTTTTGAGGGATTTCTGCACCTAGAATTCTGTGGCCCCAAAATTACAGCTGTAGTGATGAAAGTGACAACATTTGTTAGGCAGGAAGTAAAACTTACTGATCACCTTTAAGAGCATTAAAAAATTTTGTTCATTACTAATATATATCCTATCTATAATAAAATATTCAGAAAATATAGAAGAGAAGGAAGGGGAGAGAAGTGTCCTATTCATTGAGACTGTTAATGTCTTTTTGCCTTATATTTTGTTTACATTGTGGGTTTCTTATATTTTTAGATAAGCTAAATGTTACTGATTCTGTCATAAATAAAGTCACCGAAAAGTCTAGACAAAAGGAAGCAGATATGTAAGTAACATTTTAATGATAAAACAGGAATGATAGAGACTAAGTCTAGAGTAAATAGGATCTTGGTTATAATTCTTTTACAAGGGATGTTCACTTGTATACTTAAGACAATTTTTTTTTTAAGCTTAAATGAAGGTAACCTGTGCTTTCTAAATTGAAAATATTAAATGAGTCTTCTTAAGAAATATATGGTAAAACTATAATCTTATGAAGTTCACAGATGTGTTCTCATGAGGGTAACAGTGTTTGTAGATTTCAGTTTAACTAAAATGTATAAAAATGTTCCCTTTTTAGAATTTATTTGTTTATTTACTTTGGGGGGTGGCTGGCCAGTACTGGGAACCAAACTTTGACCTCAATGTTATAAGGCTGAGCTCTAACCAACCAAGCTAACTGTCTAGCCCCCTTTTTAGAATTTATTAAGAATCGTTCCCTTCCATGAACTATTTTTAAAAATTAAAGGGAAGACTAAAAACTAAATGATGATATAACTGAGAACTGTTTCCATTTACACTTCTGTTCTCAAAGCCAATTGTATAAGATCTGGCATAACTTCTGTTATATGCTAATAACTGTAAAGTATTATTGCTATATTATAGAAAATGACATTAACATCATACAACTAACAGTGTTAGAACTGGACTTAAAAACCATCTATCTTCTGTTTTATTGATGTGTCCAAGAGATACCAACTTTGTGGGAAACACCGTGTAGTCATTTGCTATTTCACTGAGTGTCTGTTGGAATCTTTATTAGTTTAGGTTAAGATGCTAGATTGAGTCACCTAGTATGTGAGCTGAAGCAAATCAGAGCCTGTGTTTGAAGACTGTCTTGAAATGGTTAAAAAACTTGTGTTACTGTGAAAAATGGCTATAAAGAGAAAGCCTTGTAAGTGATTCTAATTCTGTACAAATAGAATCATTAAGGATTTGAAGAACAGTACAAGCAGACTCAGTGTTTTCTTTTTTTCAGCATAGTTCACTTTACTCCAGCTGCCCTTTTATTTAATGCTTCTAGCATATGGATAGACTTCTTTCTTTTTTAGTGCATATATACTTTCACCCTAGAGAACTGAATTGCACATTCAGGGGAAATGAAGGAAGTTTCACTGAGTGAAGAATCTACAATCAGATCATAAAATTTATTAAAGAAACTACATACTTAGGAATTTTTATGAAATGATTTACTTTTAGAAGCTTTTTATTTTGGCTTTTCTCACTGAATTTTGAGTATGTCAACTCTACTTTTTTGTTTTTGGTTAGGTATCGCATCAAAGATAAGGCAGACAGAGCAACTGTAGAACAGGTACAATTTAAACATGTTGCAAGCTCTTATTTTAAATTGTATTTCTTTTCTCTTTGAATTATAGCTTGCTCTCATCCTTCTTGCTTAATGATAATGTTACCTAAAATTACTCCTTTATAAAATTATTCCTTTTTATAGCTTCAATTTTCAGATC